TTCTGAACAATATTTATTTTTTTTAAAAACCGAAAAAATAAGAAAAAAAAAAAAGTAGGAAGAGAGAGAACGCTAACCTTGCTGGACGCGACTTCTGGCGTGGAGGACAGGAAGGCGGGTGGGGAGGCGGTTATTGCTTGGAGGGAGAGTCCCCCTCCCTACAGGAAGCCACAACCATGTGTCATGGGAAGGAAAATGGCCACGGATCCTGTTCGTCACCTGATCTGGCGTTCGCGAACGGAAGCAAAATTTTGCGAACGGAGCTGTTCGTGACCCGAATTGGTCGTGAACAAAAGCGTTCGTGACCCGAGGTACCACTGTACATATGAATTCACAAGCTTCCAATACTATTCAACTTTTCATGGCATAAAATGCTGTCCTATGTTACCATTTACAGTGGCTTAACTTTTGTTTTGCAAATTGAAGATATAGCTTATATCCCTTTGTATAAGTTAGCAATTGAGTTCTACTGTACTTTAATGCTTCTTTTCTATATTTATATCATTCAACATTACAATGTCCATGTTTCCACACATTTCTACATGTCAGTGTTTATTAAGCAAAAATACATACAAGCCAAATGTAGTAGCTCACCCATAATGCGTATGTTCCCCTGTGGCTCCTCGGAAAAGTCAGCATGTTCTGTTCTGGGAGAACAGCAGATGTCAGACTTCTGTTGTTCATGAACTGTGGCCTTTCAAAGCCAGTTTCCACTTGCTCAGTTTTGACTGTTTGCTTTCTTATAATCTATAGAAAGTTGAAAATGAAACTAAATAAATTTCATAGTAAATCATTACCAGTGATTTAGAGTGGTTTCATTAAGATATGAAACATATACCTTAAAATTGTCTTTTAGTTCTTGCTCTAGCTCTTGAAAGCTTTTGACCACTTCACCACTATCTAAAACCACATCCAAAAGTAAATTATAATGAATAGGATAGCTAAATATTACTGCCGTTTACTGCATATCATTCTTAGACTCTGTCTCATGTACTCAGACACATGAAATATAAAAAAAAGAGCTAAAGCATCAACGGTTCCTGATAAGCAGCAATTATCAAATATTATTCATTAAAACAGATATGATGGTATTTTATATAAGACATAAATGTACTGGTATTTCCTGAAGGACATAAATAAGGACATACTGTATCAAATCAAATCTTTATTACAGTCATAGACCACCATAAAATAAGGGCATAAGTAAGAAAGGGCGGCTTGCCCTGGTTGAGCCAAATTCTTAATTCTTAGATTATTCTGTCTGGCCCAGAAGCCATACCACATTTTAATCAGAATATGACAAACATTTTGCTCAAATTTTCATTTGTTAAAAAAATATTCCAGCTTATAATGTTATAGGTTTCTTTGAGTTTTCTAATGCCTTGTTAAGCCCTATAAAGAGTTTGGATAATGATTCTAAACTAATCTCTGCAGAAAAAGCAGGCAGGCACACTTAATTCTGATAGAAACAAGAAAGAAAAAGGTGATTTGCTATCAGAGCAAATTAGCTGTCAACAATGAATAGTTACATAAGTTATACCAAAAACAGAGGAAATCACTTCTTTGTCTCTCAGTTTTGTATAAAATTTAGAATAGTCATCAGAGAAGAAAGAGAGCACACATGCAGTTTGAAGATGCTGCTTCAAATCAAGAAGCAACATAATTTATAATTAAACTACAGAGTAAGGCTATGACTTCATTAGAGTAAGAGTATGAACTGAAAGCTGAAAATCCTTGCCTCAATTATCAATTCATTCTATTGTATAATAAAGTTCCTTACTGGGAACTGTGATTAAAAATACTGATCTATCTTAAAGACTTGTAATAAATTATGTGAAAATCTACATAAATACAAATTAATATTAAAATTCTATATATTATTATTCCTATTGATAAATTCACCTAACAATGCAACTCTTGGGTTATACCTTCTGGAGAATGGTGGAAGCAAGCTCTTCTATCAGCTCTTCTTTATGGTCTTGCAAGTAACAAGCTTCATGCTGTTTGTCCTCAAAAAGATATATGCAGATAAGTATTCATTATAAACATACAGAAATTCAAAATTTAAAATGTGCAGAATGGCTTAACAGTTAGACAAACACCGATAAACCAAGTCCCATTTTGCTTTATTAAATCCATTACCCTCATAAACACCATGGATGGCCGTATGGCTAGAAAGGCTAATTTTATAGTTTCCAGGTGGAATATGGCTGCCTGCAGCACAGGTCTGATTCTAGATATTATTCTGGTGGTGGGTTTCCCAGAAATATATGGCCAGCTGAAGTAATAAAGAGGAGGACAAATCAAATTGATCTTTGGTTGGACCTATCAGGACACCATTGCAATGCCAAAAGTCTCAGAAAACAATAAGGAAATATTAGCAATAGCATATGTATCAGCATTGTCTAAAATTCAAGCATGCCCAGGATTTGCCCAACTGTCCATGGCCACATTGGAGGGAGATAGGGTGTGTGTGCATACACATTTGTGTACATACAGAGCACAATAGAACATGACAATCTGTTGATTTGTTTTTAGAGAATACATCATTTGGAGAGGCCTTGCTTATGGTTCTATTAGAGGGTGTGATTTACATACAGCCCAGGCCTAGGATCCCCAGGTGGTAGCATACTAATTATGGAACACTCTCCCAAGGAAAGTCCAGCTGGTCTTTCTGCTGTCTTGTTTTTAATGGCAACTGAATACACATCTGTTCAACCAAGCAATTTCAGGAATAACAATTACTGTAAGATCAATTTTTAAAAATAAAATTTAGTTTTGATTTTTGTATGTTTCTTGTCTTGTAGAATGGGTAATATATTGCTTGTTTTTACTTGTGGCTACTTGGAGAAAGAATGGTAGAAAATTAAATATTGCTGCTTTGATGATGATGATTGAGGAGGAGGAAGAGGAAGAGGAGGAAGACGGTATAATAGTGAATAATTAATATGATAAAATGATAAAATAATTTAAAAATGAAAAATAATGGAATAAAATAACGGAATAGAATAAACTGTAATGATATTGGCTACAGTGTACTGCTGTTACTAAGTGAGCAGGAAATATACAGTATTAGAAGGAATACTTTTTAAAATTAAATGGAAAATAAAAACTTTCTTACCAAACTGTCATTGTATGTCTCTGCCTTGGAAATAGCTTCTTCTATTACTTCTTCTGCAACACGCAAGGCTACAGCAAGTGTATCTAACATACTATGTCCTAGGCAAGGAAGGTAAAAAATACTCATAACAATTATAAAAGGGAGGAGATAATTGAGATGGAAAGGAAACCCACAACTGTTTGCCCAAAAAAAGGGATCCTCCCATCAGCAATCCACTGCTGCAAACCAGGTGAAGATTTCACCTTTTAGTATTATACAATATTTCTTCTAGCTAGTGTTCATGCCCAAAGAAAATCTTTTTATTTTTAACATAAGTAAATGTGGATATCCCTTCAATTATTTTAATTTTAATAATTTAATAATAATTTAATAATGTAATAATAATGTAATAATTTAAATATTTTAAATTATTTATAGTTTTTAGCCATCTTGGAGAGAATTGTATTTCTTCTTTTTTATTG